TTGACACGTTTCAGATTTATTTCTTAATTGCCAGCCCCAGGTCTTATTTTTCCCATTCTTTGTCGCCATTTTTGTGGAGAATAAATGTGATTCTTCACAATTTTATACATTATTATTTCGTTAGCGCCACAACTGTGTAAAAATCGGTTCAAATCCCTTCCGCTAAGACACCGAGATCTTGTAGTTAATTGGATCCTTGCGGCATCGCTGGCTACTTAAGTAGCAACAAAGAAAACATTTATTTAGAGGCTGTGTGATTTTATGTCTAAATAGCGACAACAAAAGCCGATTTGGATCGAGGTGAAAAGCCTGAAGTTATGTTAATACCTCATGCTGTGTCTTTACGCCAATTAAAGGTGACCATCAATGTATAAGAGAGGTGAACTTTTGTTTAAAGATGCAAAAAGAGGTCTTGTGATTACCGTAATGTTGTTTAACCTGTTCCAATTACAGCGGCTAGAAAGATTTGTGTGGAATAATGACACAGACTTTACAAATAAAAGAACAATATACCAGTAATTCTGATACCATTTACTTATGGACCGAGGCCTTTTACTGTGTAAAGTGGCAAATATTTTGAATTATTGAAATAAAATTTAATCATATGATAGTCCCAAAATGACTTACTTTGTGTTGAGTGGACATTAAACCCCATTTCTCTCTTTCTCATTAATAAGTGATGGTTTTAAAACCTTAGTGACATAATTTAATGCTTAGTGACTAGTAAACATTATGCATTGAATCTGTTTGTGAATAAAAATCATTTGTTCATTAGTAAACCAAAGCCCAGTTTAAACAGAGCGGTGTCCTAGGCAAGACAAGAATTGTAGGGAACCTACGGCTAAGAAAAGATTATTTTATATCCTTTCGAATGGCACTCATGCATAACAAACAATTAAACGGTCTGCAATACAAGAAGAAATTATATAATATCTGATCAAATGGGAAATCTATTCAGTTCTGAATGGCATATAGGCACGGAAATGACATATAATGGCACAGAACTGTTACAACTATTGAAATCACCCAATTGTTGAGTTGTTATAGTTAAGAATGATTTGCGTCGTGGTTTATTACTCACCCAGTCTGGAGTTTAATAGTTTTTTTCTCTTTTTGCCAGTGCAATCAAACTGAAAACATAAATAAAACTATATGAAAGAAATTTACGTCTGTAATCGCTGATTTTGTAATTGCTGGCACCGGGTCATCGTTATTCAGATTATCATTCTCATTATCATCAGAAACGATATATTCAAGCCTTGACAATAGGCATCTGTCACAGACTTTGTCCAGTACAAATTATCACTAAAGGTACCCACAGTGTCAGACACAAATTGTCCCATGACATTTATATTATAATAAATAAGTTGTGTGATAATTTGTGTCTGACAAAGTCTGTGACAGGTGCCCGTAACGTGGAAAATATCTCAAAAATAACATCAAACTATGACTAATATAAGTAGATTATCAAATAACTGGTCTGCTTCCAATTTCTAACTTGTGGGCAAATAACTCGCCTGAAACCGATTCTCTTTCAGTAGATATAATAATACCAAGGTGAGAAACCGATTGGAATTAAATAATTGGGATCAAAGTTCACTACTCTAGATTCCGTCAATCAGTGGCAAAACTCACTAAATTTCGCTAGGTAGACAATCAAGTGTACAATAACTTTTAAAAATTATCCACGTGACTCTCTTGAGTTAGAAATTGGAATCAGACCAGTTATTTGATAATCTCGCTTACGAACATGAACATAACAGACTTTAGACAACATAGTCATAGTTTGATGTTATTTTTTAAATATTTTCCACGTTACTATCCTTAGAATGTGAAAGTGGCCAATTATAAAGTGGATTTAAAGAAGCCATATTTGACATGTTGGATTATTGTTGCTACTGCTGTATTTGTGTACTGCACAGTTGGTGTTGAATAGTAGGAAGTTAAACCCTATTTCTCGCTGACTTGTTGACACAGGTGGCTCGGTGAGTAAGACATTGGCTCGCTAAACTGGAGGTCTGGTCTTCAATCCGAAAACGTTCTTAGGGATTTTCTGGCACGTGAACGTAAAAGAACCTGTAGCAGTTCTTCATGGTTTTCCAGTATGGTTTCCCCTTGTCAGTGGTGCAGGACACAGGGTCTAGTAGTCATTCGAATGGGACGGAAAACCGAGGTCCCATTTAGACTTTGATGTGAACATAAAAAACTCTTTGCAGTTGAAATTCGATATTAGATAAGTCTTTGGTGCCACTGTCCAGGCAAAATTCCCCTCATAACACACTGTATCTTCATTAGCCCAGTCGGAGAACAGTAGAATGTTAAACCCCTTTTCATTCATTTCTATTTTGTTTAAAATGTCTGTACTGTATTGGTGGTGTCTGTTTTGTTGAATTGTCTGTACGTATTTGCATGGTCTATGGTATCTTATATAATTGGGTTACATTGTTACACATTATTGGAGTAAATTAATATTATTAAAGATTGTATAATTATATTAATCCATAGTGACGATGGTCAATAAAGCTGTGTGAATTATCATTGATTCTTTGTGCCGCCTGTAACATGGAATTCTTTATGTAATCGGTTGCGTCCCAGTTCCCAAGAAAATTAACACTCATGGACATTATAGTCAATAGTCCTATTATATAAAATTCCAAGGTAATGACGAATAAACCTGTCAATGAATGTGTTAGAAGGGTGGAAGAATCTCTGTAATAGTCCAAGTTCTTTTATATCATGCTGGGTTTCTTTTTTATTAAAAGCGATAATGAAATTCATATAACCTAATTAAATTCTGTATGATGTGATACTGTAAACATTGACCTATTTCCCACTGGTGACGAGGCCACATTGACTCAGTGAGTTTTACTGCTGGCTCAATAACCAGGAGGTCCAACATCAATAGACCAGTAGGAACAGAACAGTAGGACATTAAACCCCATTTCATTTCATTTCTAACCAGGAGGTCTTGGGTCGAGAAAGTTCATCAACATTTTCCAAACTTGATTTCCCCCTGACAAGAAAAGATGTTCTAGCTGTTCGGATTGCAAGAAAAACAATTTTAAGCACATTAAATCTCCCCTGGCAATTGTAAATTGAAAAAGTAATCTGCAGTGTCGCTATGTGAGCAAAATATCACTCATCACTGCATGGTGAAGGACCATCTTCATTAGTGTGTGTGTGTGTGGGATGGGGGGAGGCAATGGTTAACGTGTGCTGCATGTGCATGTTTGATCATAAGGTCTGTCATTGAGTCAAGTGCCGTGTTTTCAATTCCCTACTTGTACATGACAAGGAGTTTGGTCACCTGTCCAACCTCGTGGGTTTTCTCCAGGTCTTCCAGTTTCCTCCCACAGTTAAAGATCTCTACACGCTAGTGAATCATTGAAATAAGATTGAACCATATTTTAGCCCTGAAATGACCTAGTTTGTGTTGAGTGGACGTTCAACCCAATTTTTCTCTCACTCTCTCCATCTTCATTAGCCCAGTGGGTGTAAAACAATAGGACATTTCACCCATTTTCAGTTCATTTATAATTGATACCATTAGCCTAGTTCCTGACATTAATTTGGTCGATTTTTCTTCATGGTAAAGTGCTAAGTGTTTGTCCTATTTGTCTGTTGAGGAATATCAATATCATGTCGATGGTCAGCTACTTAAACAGTAATTGTCATTAAATCTTTTCATGAGGTTTGTTTTGCTGGGAGTGATGGTGCCTCTTTAATAGTAATTGTTGGAGAACACACCACACACAAACAGAAACCATCAACAACTTCTAATCATCTGGTGTTATTATCAACAAATTCTAATTACCTGGTGTAAATATCAACAGCGTCTAATCACATGGTGTAATAATCAACAACTTCTAAATCACTTGGTGTAATTATCAACAATAGGCACAAAACCAGACCCAACATTTCTAGAGTAAAATTTTGTGTAGAATACGACACCGAGTGGTAATCAGTCCGCTGTTGGGGCGTTTTCGAGATATTCGGGGTCATGGTCAAATGAGTTCATTTGCACTGAAAGTGAATGCGCAGTCATTCTTGTATTATGAAAAGAAGCTGAAATTGATCGAAGTAATCACACTTTTAATAAAAATGCAAACTTGTTAAATTCACCTTTAGTCTTAGTGACCCTGAAGGTCAAAAGGCTAAATTTAACGTTTTAGCACTATACACCAAATTACAGCCCCAGGACACCCCTAGTGTAGCCTGCCAACCCTGGAGGGAGAGACAAACAAACATCACAAATATTAGTATAGACTGTCTTGTATCAGGGACCTAGCATGTGGCCTTCACTTGTTGGACAAATGTGGGAGCAATCATACATTAGTTCAACTTTTATTGTATATAACTTGTGTTACTTACCCAGAATATACCTCGGAATGCACCAAATGGAATCTATTTTTCCAAATTTTCAGGGGCTATGCACTGCACAGGACAAGATTCTTTAGTTCTTACTTCAATTCCACCCCCATTGACACAAGATTAATCCTACTACCCTGCATGTGGTATATTTTTATTTCCATTACTCTTGATGTGTATTAATACTGTAATGGAACCGATTGGAAACATTACTCTTGATGTGTATTAATACTGTAATGGAACCGATTGGAAACATTACTCTTGATGTGTATTAATACTGTAATGGAACCGATTGAAAACATTACTCTTGATGTGTATTAATACTGTTATGGAACCGATTGAAAACATTACTCTTGATGTGTATTAATACTGTAATGGAACCGATTGGAAACATTACTCTTGATGTGTATTAATACTGTTATGGAACCGATTGAAAACATTACTCTTGATGTGTATTAATACTGTAATGGAACCGATTGAAAATACTACTCTTGATGTGTATTAATACTGTAATGGAACCGATTGAAAATACTACTCTTGATGTGTATTAATACTGTAATGGAACCGATTGAAAACATTACTCTTGATGTGTATTAATACTGTAATGGAACCATTGTAATTTGTTTTTACAGATGCGTATTGGAATCCACACGGGTCCTGTTCTAGCTGGGGTAGTTGGGAGAAAGATGCCTCGATATTGTTTGTTTGGTAATAATGTTACTCTGGCCAACAAGTTTGAATCTGGTAGTGAACCATTACGAATCCATCTCAGTCCTACATCATATGAGTAAGTATTTATATTGTTTAAACAATATTTCATTCAATATAATTACATATTATCATACAATTGTACAGTTTATAGGATACGATAACGAGCAACATGTTGATGAACATAGCTTCCTGTATTTATATAAAGCTAGATGCCCCCATGACTCAAGAGCAATGATGGCTAGATGCCAGTGTTGTCAGAGATAGTTCCTCTGGATATTCCATTGAAGTTTCTGCCTTTTCAGTGTCAAAGGATCAGGAGCCATACAACTACATTTTTTTAACACACACAACTTAGGCCTATTCTAATTGAAACAGGGAGCTGTGGTGAGTCAGTGATTAAAGTGTTGCTCACTAACAGACGTATGTTCGTAATATAACCCTTGATAGTTGGAATTCAATTGCTGTCCAGTCATATACCCGTACTCAATAGCCTGGTCCCTGCAGAAATGTACGACAGTAAATAAACCCTTATCCCATTCATTCCTTTTAAATGAAACATTCTTTACCTTTCAGCTTAATTAAGACTATGCCTGGTTTTAGTTTTACTGCTCGTGGTCTAGAAGCTTTACCTGACGGCTATCCCGAAGAGTCCCGTAGTATTCCATACTTTTTAGACGATTATCACCACCCTGATGCTCCAGCTGAAGATGGCGTTGACTACATACAGCTGGCTATAGACAAATATCTGGTAGATAAAGAAGAATAATCGTCTTAAACTTAGATTACAATTGGTTGTATGGTCGTATTCACGTAGGATTTTATTAATCAATAATACACCAATCAAATTTACTTTACCTCGCAAGGAAAGTTCCAAATAAACTACTCTTTACCTTGTAAGGAAAGTGCCAGAGAAACTGCACTTTGCCTTATAAGAAAAGTATAAGAAAAACTACTCTACCTTATTTAAGGAAAGTGTCAGAGAAACTGCACTTAACCTTATAAGGAAAGTATAAAAAAAAACTACTCTTTATCTTATAAGGAAAGTGTCAGAGAAACTACTCTTTACCTTATATAAAAGCAAAATCTCAATGAAATGCCAACTGATTGGCCACAGTCAGTTGCCGATCATGTGGTTGTTGCTGGTACTCTACACCATTCACTGACGTCTGATGTATGGCGAAATAATGAGAAATAATTCTCAAACTTAAAGACAAGACATGATTATTTAAAATGGCCACAGTTATTAGCAACGAGAACAACCGACCGTGCGAAAAAGATTTTAAAAATGACATTGCCAAAGTGAGTGTTTAGTGCTTTAATTAACTGATCAGTCTGCTAATTAATTGATTATCACTAATTGATTGCAGCACTGATTAATCTGTGATAAATTTGACCTATTTATTAGCCCCCCCCCCTTCCATTTAACCCATTAGTAATTATGTGATTGTTTTCTCGTATATAAAGATTTAAGATGTATACATTGTGTATATAATAATAACCATATTTATATAGTGCATATTCTTTATGTTGGTTTAAATCCTGCTCGAAGCACATTTGAATTCATTACAATTATGTGTATGTTAAAGCATATAATCTACCAAGGTTTTATACGACACTTGAAGACAGATAACAATGGCGAAAACCGTAACACAATCAGGAAGAGAATTCCATAAAGTTGCCTGCTGAGATAAAACAAAAAAGAGACTGGGCAATCAGGAATCTTCTCCTTTTTTTCAGAATAATATTTGTATTCAGAGTCAGAAGCAGTGAACTGAAATTTGATATCACGATTGCTCAGACAGGGTCATCTACATTTCAGGGTCGTATTTTTTAAGAATTGGTTTTTTTTGCCACATCTATTAGCATCCTCTCTTATCGAAATCAATTTAAGTAAGTATTTCTATGGAGTGTGTTTCCAAATTTTGATGGTTTAAACATGAATTTAAACTTATCCTTTACATTGAATGTGTCTGTCAATTTTTTTTTTTTTTTTGTATTTTGATGGTGAGCCTGTCCTTTTATGTTATAGATACAAATTTATATATGTTTATATTAATAATTATATGTATTTATCAGATTGCCAATTATGGTTATTTTTACCAAATATGGTTATTTTTACCAAATATGGTTATTTTTTACCAAATATGGTTACTTTTACCAATTAATTAACATAATCAGTTTTAATGTATATTATAAACTGCTTTAATATTTAAATTTGGTTAATCCATATGATCATAATAATCCAGCATTTGAACCATTTTGATGTTTTGTAAGTATTCCATTCTGATACTTAATTATTCTATTTGTATTTTATGCATACCACAATTCTCATGTAATCAAATCAAAAAATAGTTTACTTATAGATATATTGTAATTAAATAATACTGTTCTCCTTGTAATTAAAAAATACTGTTCTCCTTGTTATTAAAAAATACTGTTCTCCTTGTAATTAAAAATTACTTTTCTCCCTTGTAATTTGTTGTATTAAATCTCTTATACATAATTGTATTATACATTTGCACAACGTATTGTATTTATGAATCAATTAAATATATAATACATTTGTATATTTGAAATACATATCACTGGAACACATTTTTTAAAAATCATAATTATTTATATATTCGTTATCTATGGTTCATTTCACTAATGTATACATATACAATTAAGTAAGGACTCACACGCTGCTATGAATAACTATTTAAGTTTATAGTTCATAATTATTGTATTTTACATCTATTTCCCATTTCACAAATGTGTACAATGTATTATTAATTAATCCCGTGTAATTATATTTTATGTCTCTGGCGAGTTTCACGAATGTGTACACATGTAATTAATTAAATAATCCTATTGTTATATTCTACAAGTGTAATAAACACATTAACACATATTTACTAATATATTTATGGTTTGGCCTACTTTAAAGTTAAAATGTGATTTTTCGAACTAAAGGGATGAAATGGAGTTTTATGTCACGTCAGCTCCAACTGGGCTATATTGCGCCAAATTTCCGATGTAAAGAGACTGTTTATATTCATTGTTGAGTCAATTGTAGAAATAAATCCATTTCCCACCCAGTATAGAGATCGCGCCACTATTAAGGCCAATTTATAACGTACCCACAACTGGTCTTAATCGCAGGATTTCACGGTATTATTTTATTCCATTATTTAGGCCGACCCGAGTATCTGGGGCCTGTTTCACGAAATTTTAACTACGATAAAAACCAAATTTTAATAATTTGATTGGATAATATTAGGCGGATTTTTGTGCTTATAGCCAATCAAAATTGAAGTATCTACTAAAATTTGGATTTTATCTTAAGTTAAGATTTCGAGAAACAGGGCCCTGGTCTTAATTAGCGGGATTTCACTTTATTGTAATATTATCCACTATTTTATTTCGGTCCATTATTTAAGGACGTGCATGTTTGATGTTTAACGAAGCCTCTGATCTCGGCCAAAAAGACGCATTTTTGGCATTTGGCCGTTTTTGGCAACTGGGCGAAACGAACCCACTGGCAATTTCTTCTCACCTTAATTAAAGTAGGCCTACCTTTATAAAATATGTATTCTGATGTATGTAGGCTCCGCCAATTCGATTAAAATCGACATAAATCTTAGAATGCTTGCCGTGGGAGATCGATTGCGCCGGTGGACTGCGAAGTCACAATTGCAAGATGGCTGCGATCTCAGTTCTGATTCATATATTAGACTCGTTCTTGTTTTTCTAAGACCCAAAATGATAATATAATAAGTAAAGAAGCGTGTTTTATATAACTTATATTATATAACTAATTTATGCTTGTTTTAATAATCCAACGCGAGACATTATTGATACTTCACGAGGTTAGACCGAGTGTTGTTTTAATATATACGCATTGTCTTGCTCGAGGCAGTTAAATAACTTGAAATACCGACACTATCCCGCACGTGCATTTCAAAGAAATCGTCACGCGAGTCCAATATTACATCTATTATAAATTATTGTACGATTGGCACGTTGTCCGTACCATTATTTGAAAAATTGGTACGCCAACATCTGTATTTTATTGTGAATTAATTTAAATAATAAAGCCTATATATGAATGTAAGCATATTTATGATTCTATAATATGTTATGATATTTATTTTTATTATTTATTGCAATGAATAGCACTAGAAGTGTCTGTATGGTAAATAATGAAACTGTAATTTATTACATAATAATTGTTATAAGATAAAATAATGACAGCACTGAATAAAACGAATAAAATTGACGACAGTATACAGCCTTGTCTTATACCAGTATCCCTGCAGCATTCATAATGAATTGAAATGAATTTGGTTTAACGTTCAACTTTTCTGCTCAAACTGGGCTAATGGAGACGGGCATACACCATACAGTGTGCTATCAGGAAAATTTGCCCCGAGAGCGACGCTACGGCCAACTCTTATATCGATTTCCAACTTCAAGGAATCTTTTATGTGAACGTCAAGGTGTACACAGGACCTCGGTTTTTCGTCCCATACCAACGACTCGACAGCTGTCCTTGTCGGACCCTCCGTCCTGCACCACTGACAAGGGGGAAACCACGCCGGAAAATCACGATGAACTTTCTCGTCCAACACCGGGAGCGCACCCGCGACCTACAGGATAGTGAACCAGCGTCTTACAACAACATTCAAAAACCATCCGTAGCAATTAGGAAAATCAAATCAAATGGGGTTTAACGGCCCAATGTTCTGTTCCGATTGGACTAATGGAAACGGGTATACGCCTTACAGTGTGCCTTGAGGGAAATTTTTTCCGGGCACCGGCACTTTATCCTACTTCTATATCGAATCCCAATTGCCAAGGGGTCATTTATGTTCACGCCAATGTGTACACGGGACATACTCGGTGTTTTGTCCCATACGACTGACTATACGTTGCCCCATACCAGGCCCTCCGTCCTGCAACACTGACAAGGGGGAACCACGCCGGAAAATTCCGATGAACTTTCCGGCCAACACAGAGATCGAACACAGGAACCCCAGGTTAGCGAGCCAGCGTCTTACTGGGTCACCGCGTGTCCTAGATTCATAAACCACCAGTAGCAAGGATTCGATGCTTGACTAGAGAGATAATTATATATTATAATTACACATGCAACGTAATCTCAACAAACAACTCCATTCATGCTTCCGGCAGAAAAGTAAAAATGGAATTATTATTGTGTCCTACATCACTGACAAGAGCCGCCTTTATCATTATATATGTTAAAGATATATATATTCTGTACGTATACCGTGACAAGGAGTAGTGTCGCCTGTCCAACCTCGTGGGTTTTCTCCCGGTCCTCCGGTTTCCTCCTACTGCAAGCGAATTATTGAAATTAAAAGTCATATGTTGGTCCCGAAATGACCTAGTTTGTGTCGAGTGGACGTTAACCCCCCTCTCTCTCTCTCGCTCTCTCTCTCTCTCTCTCTCTTTCTCCCTATACGTACGCCATATCTAAAATTTAAATGATTTTATAAAACAAATTGACAAATTTATATATAATTGAAATTATTGATAATTGAAGTTATGGACAATTCAAATTGTGGATAATAGCAATTTTCGCTAAGCGGAGTAATAGAGACAGGGATGAACCATAGCTTACACGGGATAAACAATTTATTATGAAGTTGACATTGTGCTATGTAATTTGGTACTTGTAGAATACTTGAAATGAAATGAAATGAAATGGGCTTTAAAGGAGCTAAGTCGCTAATATTTGGGACCTAGAAATTGACACAAATGGGTAGCAACGCATACAATAATGTAATATGAATGTATATAAATTGATTTACATTCAATCGTTTTTGTTTTTACTGTAATTTCTAATCAGTTAGGTTCGGCGAAATACGCCAGTATTCTCAATCGAATTTCAATCACTAGCGTCTGGTTATTCCAGTCTACGCCGATAGTATTTATTAGGCATGCTCTCCAGATAAGAATATGATGTCACCGTTTGACATGACTTGTGGAATATGCCTAGCCTCGTTTTTCGAGTACCTTATTACAAATAGTGCTGAAACGCATTATGGTACACGATTCGTGTACCAATTGTAAAATGTTTATTTTTCTTTAAATATTGGATATCAGAAGGCCATCTTTTTCCGGTAAGATCACAACATCAAAGTAGATTTAAACCGACAAATAAATCGTGTTTTCAATGTCGAAGATTATGGATGATATTGAGTTAGAGACTTAGCTACTTTAACGTCCAACTTTTCTGCACCAACCAGTTGGAAAATGGACTATGGCGGAAATTGTGTCCGGACAATGGCGCCCCCTCTTATTGATCTCAGACGTTTCTCCCATTCATACGGGTACATACCAGAATCGAAGCCAGGGCTCTGGTGTAAGTGCGCTAGCATCATTCATCACACCACAGCAAAGCCAGCCGGGAACACATAACATGTACCAACCGAACTGCTAGACCCATTTTCTTCCCAGCACCAGTTACAAGGAGGCAGTCCTGCTGGAGAATTCCCAGGAACTTCCGTACAAGTAGGCTAGTACTATATTCAACAGCCACAAGGAGGCAGTTCTGCTAGAATACTCACCGAGTCACGATGGCTTCCAGTCTGACTAGGCCCGTCTAGAACATAGTGTGCTATGTAAATTTGTATTGGTAGAATACTCATCCAGTCATCATGGCTTCCGTCTGACTAGGTCAGTCAAGAACAAAGTATTAGTATTGGTACAATACTCACCATGGCTTCCCGTTTGGATGGGTCAGTCTAGAGCACTGTGTGCTATGTACTTTTGGCATTGTGCGACTTCACGTCTGACTAGGACAGTCTATATAGAACAATTTTATGATATTGTGTGCTATGTAAATTTTGTATTTGGTAAAGTACTCACCGAGCCACGATGGCTTCCCGTCTGACTAGGTCAAATTAGAACACTGTGTGCTATATACTTTTTGTATTGGTATCAGGTACGTGAACAGGACCACGTTCTCTTGGTATCATGTTGAACATGTTAATATTATTTTAACTTCTTCAGACTAATCAATCAACACCGACTCCATGCTTAACTTACCAAAAATAACTTGTTACGATGACCTGCTCTCGTACATACATCTGTTGTTTCATTTCAGATATTGCTACCACACTCTTTTCAAGGGAGCTACGGTGGCTCAGTGAGTAAGACGTTGGTTCGCTAACAAGGAGATCTCGTGTTCGCTCCCGGGTTGGCCAAGGAGGTTCATAGAGAATTTTCCGGCGCCCTCCCCCCCTCCCCACCTTGTCAGCCGTGCAGGACGCAGAATAAGGAACAATATCCAGCTGTTCAATTAGGATGGAAGCCGAGGTCCCGTGTGCCGCTATCCGGGTAATCTTTATTTCATTCAAAATGTCGATGGTCGGTCGAGCGGTAGGGTGCTCGCCCAGTGGCGGCGCTAGCCGCCAGTGGTTGGAGGGGCAAAGCTGGGGCAAAGTCCAAGGTTAAGGGGGCAAAGGCACAAGCTTCAATTACGGGTGGGGGGTTGGCTCCCCCATAAATTTTAGAAAAACAGGATACCGCAAATGCAGCCTGGCAGTATTTCAGGCACTGATCGTTGAGATAAAGTGTCAAACGACCGAACCTCGACGAAGCCCACCCACGAGCGCCAAAGTAGGGAGTCCTTACGGAGGCTATGGGGGACCTCTCCCAGAAAATTTTGAAAAATAGTCTGTCGGAAATGATGTCTGACAGTATTTAGGCACCGATTGTCGAGATAAATAGAGCTGATCAGATACCGTCTGTCTATCGGACCCCAGAGAGGAAAGTGTCAAATGAACGGACTTGCGAACCTCAACGAAGCCCCCGAAAATTTGAAAAGTAGACTGCCGGAAATGCAGTCTGGCAGTATTTCAGGCACTGATCGTCGAGATAAATAGAGCTTACCAGATACCGCCTGTCGCCAAATCACTAGTTTATCCCACGAGAGAGGAAAGTGTCAAACCGACGAAGTGAGTGAAATAGTCTGCCGGAAATGCAGCCTGGCAGTATTTCAGAAATAGAGCTGACCGGATACTGTTCGTCGCCAAATCACAAGCTTATCCGAACAGAGAGGGAAATGTCAAACGAACGGAGTGAGTGTATCAAGTGAATGCATCTTCTCGCCGCTTTGAACCTATATACCCAAGATTGTAAAAAGCACTTCTCAAGTGGTTCACGTGTTATTGTTTATAGTAGGTTTACAGCTTGGTAAGAAATCACTCAGACTCTACAACATGCAAGTCTATGACTGAGCATGAATGTGGGATTTAATCACCGTAGAAAGTATTGATTGGGGGGGGGGGGCAAATAGAGGGCAGACCAGATTTATGCCCCCCCCCCTTGACGCCGCCACTGTGCTTGCCTGCGGGTTATAAAGCACCAGGCTTCGTATTCCGGTATAAACCGAGACGAATCTCCATGTGGTGTGGTAGCGCGTGTCGGACTGAAAAGAATAGTGTGCCTGGTCGTGCGAATGAGACGAAATACCAAGACCCACCCATGTACCTATTAGCGTGCAAGCACAAGATTTTCCAGTCTAGTTTCCACTTGACAGTGGTATAGAACGAATGGCCTGTTAAAAAGGGGTGCCTAGTCATTAGGGTGTGTCGAAAAAACAAGGTTCGCCTTGTGCACGTAAAAGAATCCTCGACAGTTTGATGAAGAAAGAATAGACAGGAACACCAGAGCAGCGAGTCCCCCTTAGCATGATTTCCCCCTTAGCACACTTACATGGCGTATGTCCATCTTCATTAGAAAGGGTTAACAGGGGTTTCATTTCATTTCATACACGCCCAGTTGCCTAAAATAAAACTGGCTGAAACAAGTCAACATTTAATTTAAAAAATAGGGTATTTCACGCTGACTGTCTGTAGCAAGTCATGTAGAACATCTCAACACAATACAAATTTGTCTTTTAAGAAAAATAGAATTTAATCTTGGCATCACTGGTCAAGTGGAATAACTTCTCCAAAATATTCAGTCAGGCGATATACAATGAAGTCGTAAGCTAAATAAACAATCATACGACCTAGAGTTGTTTTATTGGGGTTTTTTGTAGAAAATAGTAAAACTGACGGAAATTATTCACTTTGTCTGACTCCATGTGACCAGTTCTTTAAAACCATTTAAGGGTTATTGTTTATTTCACGTTTTTAAAACCATGCAAAGCGAACTTTATGATTGTATTTCGTAGTACATATGTGACAGAAAAACATGTAACATTTAGATGAAAATATGCTCGCCGCCCCCCCCCCTCGCCCCCCCCCCCCATT